AATTCAAAAGCCCTTTAGTCCAACCCCTGCATTTTACAGATGAGGAAACTGAGGCCAATGGATATTAATGGACTAGTTCAAGGTCATGAAGGTAGTAACTATCAGAGATAGGATTTGAAACTGTGATCTTAGCCTCCAAGGTCAGTGCTTGATCCTTTGGAGCATACTGCCTCCTAAATGAGTAGGTTTTTTTTTCTTTTGCCCACTGTTAATTCAAATGTGGAATCAAGAATTATAAACTGATGAAGGAAAAGAAGTATTCCTATTTCTCATGATGAGGAATCTGTCCCTAATAAAGATCCCCAATGTTTGTGTACAGTTTGTAACAGGTTTGGTCTAAACAAAGATTCATGATTCCTCTTCAGAGGGAAAATATACAAATTAAGCTTTCCACCCTTCCCCCAACTCTTTCATTCTCCTGGCCTGGAACTGGTTAGCTTAGTCTGTTGGAGTATTCTGCTAATGAGGTCAAAGTCCCTGGAGTTCTCTGGTCTTGGCAGCCTAGTGAATGCCTACACTGGTCACAAGGGGATCTTCCAGGAGTGAGCTGTCTGTTTCCCTGAAGGGCAACAGATTCTATAGATGAAATTGACTACTCAGGGGATGTAAAAGTTAGAGTGTGACCATGAACAAGCAAGTCAGTTAAGCTTCCTGGGGCCTCAGTTTCCTCATCTGTGAAATGAGGATTTTTTTGATCATCTCTGAGGTCTCTTCCAACTTGAGGTCTGAGATCCAGTGGTCTTAGGATCCTGTGAGGTCATGGGAAGTGTCAGCTACTAACCAAGGCAATCCTGCTAGTCCCCCTTATAGAATCCAGAGAAACAAAGGCCTTCCAATGGAAACATTCTATTAAAAAAATACAAATTGTAACCTTATCTCCCTAATGAGAAGAAGGTATGAATCCTCTTCACCTTTTGAGAATGTTTAACCCTTTGTATCATCTCTGATTTTTATCTTGGGTGCACAGCCTATCTTTCTTCAAGCTCAATTCTTAGTGAACATCCCTACCCTGAGACTGCATATCTGTTCTGTGACACAGAGCTTTCCAAAGTGAAAAACAAGCCCCACATATAAGCCAGCCCTTGTCACCAAATAAGCCAAATTCATGCTCTAGCAGCTAGGTCCTGCAGCACAGATATTTAGGAAAAGGTTTCCAAAGCTATGACTTTCTCCTGGTCATGCTGGGTCAACCCACACTTTTGGACTTCATTGGGAAGAGACCACAGATACTTCCAAAAGGGATCTAGTACAGCTTCAGAAACAGCAAGGAGCCACATTCTACCCTGGGTCTTACAAGGCAGGGCCATGACTCTAGGTCCTTGACCATGGTAAAGAGGATTCAGAGCATATAAAGTATTAAAGATGAAGAGAAAGACAAATCATTGTCCTCCATTGACCACAAGGAAGTGACTGATCAGCATGTCTTTATTTTTTCCTTCTATGTTCACAGATTAAAGCGAACATGAGGAAAGATTGAACCAATGGAATTTGCATACTGGTCTTAGCTAGTAAAAGAAAATGGATTATTGATGTCTCATTTCAAAGTCTGCATACTAATAAAAGTAGCTGAAATTGTAAAGAAAAAAGATAATAATAGCAGCTCATATTTATAATAAGCACTTTAAGCTTTGCAAAGTGCTTTACATATATTATAAAGGAAAGCAATTTTCTTTTGCTAAGGTTATTTTATGTCTGCAAATTAATTACTTGGCTTACACTGAACAACAGTTGGCTTGATTGACGTAAATAAGTTAAAAAAAAACAAATGGGTAAGTTCATGTTTTAAAGGAGATCTCAACTAAACGAAAGCAAATGAAGGATGACTAAGAAATACTTTTGGCACTGCCAAGGCAATGACACTGCATGTGTGAACTGATTTTACTACCCCAGTGACTTCTAAGATAGTGTTACACTCCTTTGATCTGTTGAGGAAATGACTTACACTGTAAGTACAGCTGAATTTTTTCCAATTCCTATTGCGTCAGTTCCAGGGGGTCCCATCCACAACCTCAAAGGCTCTGAACTTTGTAATTAGCACTGTCAAAGCTACTGGAAATGAAGTTTTGGAGAAAATGGTCATGGTGTTAGTTACCCTCTACTCAGCACTTCTTTGTTTTCAAGAGAAGCATTTGCAGAGTCATGACCATAGCATAGATCTTCATTTTAAGGTTCTTCATAAAAGCCAGGAAAGTTAGTGTGAAACAGCGAAGTACATATATTTATTTGAGAAAGTGGGATTTGGTGACACTTTCTTCCACTTGCTGTGCCAAGGTGCAGCAGAACTCCAGTCCTGTCTAAGTAACTGTCTGTGACTGGATCCAGCAGGCCCCAGGTGTTTCCTCAGCTTGCTATTCTTGAAGCTGCTTAGATCCAAGTATTTTCTCACTCCCTTTGGATCTAGAAAGGATCCAGGTGCTTTTGAACTAAACATCTGTAGAATTAGAGCAAGCCAGGTGTTTCCTTACAGGTTGAGCAAAGATGGAGCAACGTGTGCCCAAGATGAATCAAGATTCAAGGAAACCTAAGTATATCCCTCCTTCCACTTAATTGACGGATGAACTAATTAACAGACTGACTGAAAGATGTGCCTTTGTGAAGTCAAATCTATACTGGGCAACGAAACAGCTAAGTTCAATGTTAATCTCCATAGACACTGTCACTTGTTTGGCTTTAGCACTCCTGTGAGTGCATCTCAAGGCACTAAAGGAGTGAATTCCAGACAAGGAGAAAGATCCCAGAGTCCCAAGCAAGCTGACTACATGAACAACTCTTATTCAGATTAGAAACACTTCCTTGGCCTGCTTTCCTTCCCTCCTTCCTTCCTTCCTTCCTTCTTTCGTTCCTACACCCCACGCACTTTTCTTCCCAAACTCTGCACTTCCTCTGTTTCTCCAAAGGACCTGCTCCACTGGGGGACTTTTCAGGAGCCCAGCTGCTGCTCCTGCCGCTGCAGCTGCTGAGCTGTTGACACTGCCTCTGCTGCAGTCTGGTCAGTGCAAGTAGGACAGTGCCGTGCACAAGCGAGCTGGGGCACAAAGAGCGTGACCTCTCTGCGCCGCCTCTTCCTCTGGCCTCGGTTAAGGATGCGAGCCGAACTAGCAGGATAGAAACTCCCTCCCCTTTCCCTCCCTCCTTCCCCGCCACCCTGGCAGGGGCTGCGGAGGGGGCGAAAGCGTTGCTCGCAGCAGCAGCCTCAGACGGTCAGCCAGCCAGCCAGCCCCAAACCCCACGTTGTGTTTTTTTTTTTTGGTTTTTTTTTTTTTTTTTTTTTTTTTTGTCCAGTGCCAAGCGTAACCGACCTCCTCCAATCTTGTTGTTCGGTCACAAGTGGCTTTGTGAGATAGCAGCCAGGTTCCTATTCCCTGGAAATAGCATAAACGGCTTACGGATGTACAATTGGAGACTTTCTAAGAAACCCTGTGTTCTGTGGATCTCTTTATCAAGGCAGCAGCAGCAGCACCCTTTCACCCCTCAGATCCGGCGCCCTTCACCTCCCATAGTCCCCGAGGCCAAGCCACAAGAACACCCTGACTGTGCTAAGGGGCGGGGATACGAGTCCCAGAGAGAGAGGCCTGGGGGGCTCCTATTCCACTTGGAATCTTCTGCCACCTCCACCCCCTTCAGCTCCAGGAGAACGCGTACGTGTCTGGGTAGACGTGTTTCATTTCTGGGACTAGTTTTTCCCAGCTCCTCCCAATTTATTCGGTTTCTTGTTTTTGTTTGTGTTGATTTGGTTTGGTTTGAGGATTGGGATAAAGGGGTAAAGAACAAAACGGGAAAGCTAAAGAGATGGATGGAGATCAATTATCCCCGAGTTACCTGGGTCGGGGATGGGGGCTGGGAAAAGGGGCACACGTAAATTTCACGTAATGCAGGACTTTAGCTAAGCTTCCTTGTTCTGTTTCCAATCATCCATCCCCACAGAATCACCTCATTTTATCTATATTTTTAAATGACAGGACAGCTTTGGGGGAGGGAGGGGAGGAGGTGAAGGGGGCGTAATCTGTGCCTGAGAATGGTATAACTATCATTTAAAAAAATAAAATGAACACCCAACGAATGTAACTGAGATTGAGTAATATCTTTTTACCTGCTGTACTCTGAACTCAGTCCGCCCTTCTTACCCCGCACCGGTTTCTTAATCTTAGGACCTAGTCCTGACACCAGACGCAAAACCTTCCCAGACAAGAACTCGCAGGCAGATCTTAAGGGAGAAGTTTCCAGCCTCCACCTCCCATTACCACCCCCTACATGTAGACTCTCCGGTTCACATCCACCCCTCCAGAGAGGAGGGAAGAAGGAGAGAGAGCTCTCTTCCCAAATATGCAACAGGGCTTCGACCAAGGGAAAGCCCTCTTCCAGCACACACCCCTCCCGTCCCCTTCTCCTCTTCCACTCCAAACGCCCTTCTCTTCTGCGCTCCACTGTGTTCAGTCTCTAGACTCGGAAACTTCTTTCTCGTCTCAAGTCGGTGTTATCCAGTTTAACCTCTTCACTGTCTGACCTCTCCGACCCGCCAACAATTGACTTATTTCTAGACACCCCCTTCCAATAATTCACACACACTCACACACACGCACACACACACACACACACACACACAAGAGGAGGAATGTGCAGAGGACCAGAGTTTAAGGAAAGCACTACCCCCCTCCCCGCCTTCCCCGAACCACTTGCAAACAACCTCGAGAATTTTGTGCAGTGTGTGGCATGCGTATGGGATGTGTGCGTGTCCCAAGATCGCACGAGGGGGTGGGGTGGAGGGACGACTGGGGAAGGCAAGCAACAGCACATCTGGAGGTAGGGGAAGTGGAAGGCTAGGGGGCGGGGAAGTGAGCCGCTAGCTCAGCTTCGTTCGCCGGGGTCCGCTGCCAGAGTTATCTCCACCGCTGAGGCTCCAGCGGGAGGCGGGATGGGAAAGTTTCAAAGAGTAAGGGGTGGGAGGGAGAAAGGGAGAGATAACAAAAGGGATTGGGGGCGGGGGGGATGTTGCCGGTTACCTGTCCAATGTTGATGAATCCGTATTTGCTAGCTATCCTGTTGGCTTCCTGGAATCCCCCAGCGATCTTTACAGCCCAGTGGTTGGTGTACACGCGAGTCCTACACACCGGCAGCAGGCAGCCCAAAAGGAGGGCCAACACACAGAGCAGGTCCAATCGCCCCAGGCAGAACCGACTCCTCCAGCCCATCGTCCTTTCTCCTCCTCGGGAAACCACCCCAATCAACACAACTTCTCTTTCAAAGCTCCCTTTCCCCCGGGCTCCAGCGGATCCTTAACGTTCACCACTTCCAGTCAGACAATCCCCAGCCGCAGCGAGAAACCCTTCCAAATTTAGGTGGAAGAAACTAGAAATAGCTTGGAATATTGCATTGGACCTTGCGCTGGCTTTTAAACCATTTCTGATTGTTAAGGTGAACTACCCTATCCTCTCCCCTTCGGGAGATGAAGTGAGTGGATAGGGGCTGCTCTCTCAGTTTTGAAGCTTTTAGGTTTGTTTGGTTTTCTCTTTACAGATGAGTGTTTTGAGTTTGTCTTTCTTCTTCACTGCAGTTCTTTACGTCCTCCTCACTCCTTTTCTTTTTCCCCCCACTTGCTTATCTTGTGTTTCCTTTCTTCTTCTTCTTCTTCCTTCTTTTCCCCTAAGGCCCAGAGAGCAGCAGCGGCAGCAAGCAGCAGCAAGCAGCAGCAACAGCAGCAGCAACAGCAGCAGCAGCAGCAGCAGCAGCAGCAGCAGCAACAGCAGCAGCGGCAGCAGCAGCAGCAGGCAGTGTGAGTGTTGGCAGCTGAGCGCCTCTTCGGCTCCGTCAGACTCAGAAACCTCCCTCCCTCCCTCCTCTCTCTCTCTCTCTCTCTCTCTCTCTCTCTCTCTCTCCCTCCCTCCCTCTCTCTCTCTCTCGTCCTCCCTCCCTCTCCGAGTAGTGACTGTGGAGTGTGAGTTGAAATGGCAGCAGCGCCTTCTCTGCATAAATGACTCTCTCCCCCCCACACACACACCCCCTACACAACCCTTCTTTCCCACCTCCCCCTCACCCCTCCCTCCTCTTGCCGTCCGAAAGCGGTACGGATCCAGACTCTGACTAGGTCCTAGCGCCGACTTTTTAAAACTATAACCTACGAGATCCCGGGCAAGAAGAAAGTGCACGCTGTTATCTGCGAAGAGAACCTGGTGAATTCCGGGGTTTGAGGTTCGCCTTCCCCAACCCGGTGCTCCTTGTTATTTTGCTGCTACTTCCTGAAAGACTGGCGAAACAAACAGTTGAGTGACCTAGAGATTCATTCATCCTTGGTCTGAACGTCCTTTAACAGCTAGCGTTTAAGAAGGTCAATTTCATGTCAATTGCCTAAGGAATAACCTGAGATTTTCACTTCGTTAATTCTTCATGCTTTTCACCGACTGTTTATTTTATATATTCTATTCCAGAGAAGAAGCATCTACTCATAATAATACCCCTATAGCCAGGGAAAGTAATGGACTTGATGACATCTAAAAGCAGTGCACTCCATACTACACAATTCCATGGAAGGATAAAATTTCTCAATTAAGTTTTTTTCTTTCCTATGAACATTCCGTACGAAATAAGATCGAAGTTGTCCAATCCAAGGGAATGGGTGTCTACTCCTTGCTTTAAGTTTTCTTTCTTTCTTTCTTTCTTTTTTAAATATAAACTAGGGCAAAAATTGTCCAACTTTTGAAGTACCTTATGTACTGGAAAAAGCCAATGACTTCAATAAAAGGGCACAAATGGAAGGTTCTGAATAAATATACCTTTTCTGCCAGCTCTAATCTTTATATGCAATAGTATTTGCAAAAAAAAAGTAGCACAGAAATAGTTTGACGAATGCTACTCCAGTTCTGCCCCTCCCCCATTCAGCCAAGTGATTTCTCAGCAAAAGAGCAAAGTTGCCCCTTCTGAACTATATTTGTAGGTTTTCAGACCACTGGCTGTCTTCCAAACTAGGATATGTATCTCTTCCCCCTTCTCAGTCCTATATCACCATTAATATATTGTAGCAAATTAATTTATCTCAATCCACACCTTTTCACAATACTTTGCATTTACCTTTCTTCTCAAGAGATTTGCCAATAGTGAACTAGCGCTCCTATGATATTATTGTAGTGGACAAATTAGGTTTATTTCTTGAATGCATAGGTTGAAAAATATAAAGCTGGAGATTAAGCATTAGACTACTCCGCTGAGAAGTTGGAATTTTAATACATTCCCCCACCTCAGTAATTTTTTGCTTGCAGCAAAAACTAAATGAGACTAGATAGTAAAGTCCCATACTGATCATTGGCATCTATGTATCGGGAGGCACATAAACTCAAACTACATATACTCAAAAAAGTCAGTCAAAATCAGACTTTGTTCTAATCCTGATAAGCATTCAAAGGGATAGAGACAAATCATCTTCCCTTCTTGTGGACCTTTGCAGTAGAGTCAGGTAGAAATCACTCACACTGTCCCCAAAGAAGGTTAGCCACCACTAAATCAGATTAAACCACCACCTTATGAGTCAAATTTTTAAACATTGATGTGTATTTGCTTGAGGGCTCTCATTCCCTTATTGTTGGGTTCTGGGAGTATAGCTTCAGACACTTCTCTTTGAAAGGAAAATCACCTAAGAGTTTTGAATTTGGAATGCAACTTAGAGGAATCACTATACCTCCACAGAGCCCAACTCCCTTATGGTATGGGTTGTTTCCTAGGATAAGTGGTAGAATTATTCATTGATTCTTTTTTCTCCATGGACTCTTTCTTTTTCTTCTTTCCAATAACACTTTTTCTTTCTGTAGCCATGCCCTTCTTGGCATACATAACAGTTACGTTAAACATGAGTGAGAATTTCGAAGGTAGGAAGTGGACAACCACTTTTCTGCTTTGTAAACCAATACCTGGACCAGCATTTAGCTTACTCAAAGGACATATTCTTCCATTTGAATGAATATATATTAGGAAAGGGAAACCAGTTCTGGAAACCAAACAAAATGTAGAACCACCATTCACTCCTCAAATCAAACCAAATCCTTATTTAAGGCCTTGCCTCATTCATCTTATTCTTCACATTTACAGTTCACACACACACATAGACACACACACACACACACACACACACACACAGACATGTGTTGGCCTTTCTAGTTTAATTTTCTTTTCCACTCCTAGAATAATACTGTCACAGATTACAACCTTGGAACCTTCTTCCCACTGGCCAATTCATACCACAGATCTCCTGGTTTACATCCAGGCACCATTTAGTTCTTACTTTCATTTCTATTATTCCTGAGCCCCATTTGATTAACCCAGTTAGCTTAGCTGGTGAAAGCTTACCGGGTAAAGTAGAAAGGTCCCCAAGATGGGTTAATAACTTCGAGCAAAGACAATTTCTGCTCTATTATTTTAGACTAAATCTATAACTCTACCAGCCAACCCAATCAGAAATGTGAGTCATTAGTTACACAGGGGACCAAGCCAAAGAGTGTGTTCAGTGTAAATCCATTGTTACTATTGGGAAAAGAACCCAAAATTAAAGCCCATGGATCAGGGGGAAAAATACAGCTAGATCTGTTTTACATAACTCTTTTTATATTTTTAAATCACTTTGGTAGCTATTATCACCTTTTCTTATGTCAAGAACAGAGCATTGTGATCCTAATCTGGTGAATCAAATTTTGAATTCTTATTGCTATGATTACAGTAATAGAGGCTGTTTTCATTTTTACCCGGTATCCATCCCACTTAGCTAGAGGAGTGGGTGAGGAACATGGAATGGAGAGTTGGCCTCAGGAAAAGCTGGAGTCCAGAAGGCCTGGGTTCAAATCCTGACTATGTGGCCCTGGATATGTCATTTAAACTCCCACTGCCCCTAGGCAATTCTCTCAGAATGGAAATTGCAAAACAATTGGAGCTCTACATCTGTGGAAGGAGGTTCCTCAGTGGGAGTTTCCTATAACAAAACAAGCAAAGGTACAGTTCTCCACCCTTCACCCTAACTACATTTAGAAGAAAACTTCTATTTGAAGACATTGAGGCCAGACCAGTGTTTGGCAGCTGTGTGAATTTCTCCTCCATGCAGATTGCAAGATTGCACCGGTAGAAAGAAAGAAAAAAAAAGAAAGAAATGAGATCCCTTGAACATCTTGAAACCCTGTAAACCACCCTCCACCCCTCCATAATCCTGAGAGAGATCTCTCTGGCTCCTGAGAGGTCTCATTCAATCCTTTTTCAAGCTTCATAGCTAGAATTCAATTTAATAAAATTTAAAAAGAAATCTTACATGCCTACCACATGAAAGGAATTGTACTGTGAATACAGAGATAAAAGAACACAGTCCTTGCCTTCAAAAAGCTTATAGTCCAATATATGCAAATAATAATAACCAATATTTGTACACATTTTAAGTTTGTTAAGTATCCTACATGCATATATGTATTACACACATAATCTTATTTCATCTTTTACAATAACCCTGTGAAGTAGGTGCTATTTATTATTATCCTTATTTTATAAATGAGGAAACTAAGTCTGGGAGTGGTTATGTCACTTGGCCAGGGTCACATAGCTAGTGAGTGTCAGAGTGAGGGTTTAACCTCAGGTCTTTCTAACCTCATCCTCCAGCAGTCTATCCACTATGTTACCTAGCTGCCCATTCTACAACTATGTGGAATGAAATATAGAATATGATATGTATGCAATGGAGCAGGGGAATCAAAATCATAGAAACTGGGACCACTAAACCATACATAAGGATCCCCCTATCTGATGCATATTGGCTTAGAAAACTACATGTTAACATTATCTATGTTCAAGTGTATATTTATTTATATTGTATTTCCAAATTACATTTTAATCTAGTTTGGGGAGCACCTGAGCATGTTACAGACTGCAAGGTGGCCCCCTGGCTGCCTGTTTGACACCTCACTATTGAAGTTTAGAAGAGGTCCTCCAAGAAAATGTGAAAGGAGAGATCATGTTCGGTTAGGGCATACTTGGGAAGGCTTCTGGGATGAAAAATAGCCCCTAGATTGGGCTCTGAAGGGAGGAAGAGGTTTGGAAGAAGTTCATTCCAGGTATGTGGGACTTTTAAAAAAAATTAACTTATTTATTAAAAGAATTTTCCCCAGTTACATGTAAAATTTTTGCGTGTGTGTGTGTGTGTGTGTGTGTGTGTGTGTATGTGTGTGTGTGTGTGTGTGTGTGTGGCAGTTGGGGTTAAATGACTTGCCCCAAGTCACACAGCTAGTGAGTGTTATGTGTCTGAGGCCGTATTTGAACTCAGGTCCTCCTGACCCCAGGGCTGGTGCTCTATCCACTGTGCCACCTAACTGCCCCTAAAAAATTTTTTTAACATTCATTTTTAAAACTTTGATTTCCAAATTTTCTCCTTTCCTCCCTCCCCACCCTCACCCCCATTGAGAAGGCAAGCAGTTTCATAGAGGTTATACATGTGTAGTCATGCAAAACATATCCATAATAGTCATGTTGTGAAAGAAAACATAGAAAAAAAAAACCTCAAGAAAAATAAACAAAGTAAAAAAAAAGTATACTTCAATCTGTATTCAGACACTGTCAGTTCTTTCTCTGGGGATGGATAGCATTTTTCATCATAAGTCCTTCAGAGTTGTCTTCTATAGTTGTATTGCAGAGACTAGCTAAGTCATTCACA